TTTTTTTTTTGTGCTGTATTAATAAACCATTAATCCTGTTATGTTTTTTGCAACATTCCTCTAAATATCTAAAATAAACAATTGACTTAAAAGGATGTCAGCACAGCATTTGTTTCCTGTCTCTAGCCCATGCTCAACATGTACAAAACGCGTTCACACAGAATCACTTTTACAATGTTTTTAAATTTTAAGTACTTATCAACCGTTACGAAAAAGATAGAGAATAATGTTTTCGAGGGWATGATATACCGACATTATACTTCATTGTTATTTGATCTTGTATCCGACTTAAAATAAACAAAAATATGTAAATTTAAATGACGTTTAAATTGTTTTGAGACAATATTTAGACTAATCGATATTTAATAAAAACGTTAAATAAAAAAAAATTAAAAGTGGTTTCCTATACACAAAATTTTTGCAAGAGGTATTTGGCGATGCAATATTTGAAAATTTGATATTATGTGATTATCATTTGGAAATTTTAAGACCAAAGTTAGAAAACAACTTGTGCTTTGGGTGTACGACTTTTTCATTTCTAATATTAATTAATATTGATGCGCAAATGATGTTAGACCTTTTCAGGGACGGCGCGAGTTGGGGGGGGGAGCAATCGGGGCAGTTGCCCCGGGCCCCGCGATTTTAAAATTATAATCAAGGCCCCGCAGTTCTTAAATTTTATTTTATACTGTTCAGAGATTAGTTAGTTTGGATAATATGTAATGTGACTATTATTTATTTTGCCCGGGGCCCCGCAAACCCTAGCACCGTTCCTGGACCTTTTAAACGGTCATTGCGCAAACGACGCATAACCCAAAATCGAACGATGGGCAATTGAACCCCCAAAAAAGGTAAAAATTAACAACAGTGATAGTAATTATATAGTGATGCTCCAAATACCAAATCCAAATCACAAATTTTGTGTCCAAATGTGAAAATTTCATGATAATATATGGATAAATGATAAAGATAATGTACATTATATATGATTATTGTTTGTCGTTTACATAGATCTATACATGACAAAATAAATTTATTTTGTCATGGATCTATGGTTCTATGGTTGTTAACGATGTTTGATGACGACGGATGATTTCTAGTACATTTTGACCGAAAACGATAACAGATTTAACTCGCACACTAATTCTGTGCGTTTACTTTGTATCATGATTAAAGATATATATCTTTAATCATGMTTTATATCCACCACGAGTCCGCGATTAAAGATAATATACAGGTTGCACATCATGTCATCGTCCTATAATAAACGGCTTTCAGATTCAGATTGATTTACAAAGTGACCATATAAAACAGCTGTAAATAATTAATTACTAGCGCCCATGTGTCAAAATGCAGAACTAATTTTAAAGTATCTCGCATATTATTATGATAATATRCAGGTGATATAATATACTTTACCGCCTTTTTATTTATTCGAATGACAAGTATTTCGGTATTCGTAATATTTGCTAGTGACTGTGAATCGGTATTTGTATTTACTGAATTTTAATAATATTATGAACACGATTTAATATATACCTACGTTACAACATTTATAACATGGAATTACCACGATTAAAGATATATCTAATATATATATATATATACAAATTACTTTTATCAATTATTATGTTAGTTTGCCTACATTGAACTCCTTAATACATGGTCAACTGCAGCCCCCTTAAAATAAAATACCCAGCATTYTAAGTGTTTTATAATCACGGACTACGGTAATGTTTTAGTGTACTATATATACAGATTAGACTACAAACAACTTGAAAAGAATATCAATTTGTACATGATTGTTTTGATATGCCATTAAATAATTATTTACAAAAAATGAAAAATAATATGGGGTCAAATTTCGTGTAAGGGGTCCCTAGGGACCCTATTTTCCCTAGGGAAAATTAGACTTAGGCGGAATGTTATCAGCGGGGCTAGGATTTTATAGCACTAAAAATAACTGAAATATGCGCTACAAAATGCCCTAAAGACACGAAAAATAACAAAAATAAAAAAGAATTCGTCTAATTATAACTAAACCATAGGAAAACCAAAAAATCAATATACTTTTAATTAATTCAAAGTAAATTCATAATATATGGGCAGTATTAAAAATATCAAAATACAAGTTTTTAACAACTAACCTATATTAAATAGTTTAAGACCTTTAGATACAAGAATATAAAACGTGTTAAATTGTGTATAGTGTTTTAGTTTATATTGCATTGCATAATATTAAAATATAAGAACTTCTTATAGAAACCGGGAATTTATCATGATTACAGAGTGAACTTTTTCCTTATTTACCTAAATTATTTAATTTCTCGGAATCAAATGTTAACGTTTAACAATATATTATATAATAGTATTTATAAAATAAATATTTAAACCCGAAATAACAACAAAAACTTGTTGCTATGACAAACGTAAGTGTTGAAATATGTATTTCCTAGCCTTGTCTTATTCATAATCTACTTGTCGCAACAGTTAATTGRACAATTTATAAGTTATAAAGTCTATTTATAATCTTGTACCTATAATTGTTTAGTTACATTAAGTGTTACTTAAATCTATTAATAAAAAATAAAAACAATAAGTTTTAACATACTTTTGCTTCATATTTTACGATAGTGTATAATATCGGAGAATCGAAGATATCTAAAGGCGAGATCATGCAGAATGAACCGTCCGAAACTGTTCTGATGCATAAAGTTTTTGAAAATCTCCGGGAAAATAGTCCGAAAGCATTGAGAAATCGAGAGATCACGTGTTTACCGTTGAGCAGAAGATATAGTTCTATGCCTAATATTCCAGTATTTCAGAATTTATCTTTCATCGCTAATGACTCATCGCTGGAGTATTCAGTCACGGCTGCAGACCAGCCGCTTGCAGGGTCAATTCCGAAAACAGAAGCGAGTTATGAGAGTCCRAACTTTCGTTACTATTTTGGATTGATGTGTGCGGAAACAAAGTCTCCTGTGGTATCAGAAAAAAAAGAGATCGAACGTGTCTCGTCTACGCCATTAGTTCAACCAGTATCTGAAATGCATGGTCCCGAGCGTTTGCTGCCACGTGGAAGAATTAGCTCGGTCTCTGATATAAAGTCGCAAAGAACTCCTGCTGGTGATTCACTCGTGGTCGATGTGYCATCCTCAACCGATCGTATGCAGCAGGTTTTTGCGAACCTCCGTACAAATC